AGTTTCAAAGTTATATAAATTAATGGGCTTCCATCTTAATATATGCCCGACAGAAACTCAATGGGCTCCTAAACTAGCCCTCTTTCGGTTTATATCTATTGTAAAGGTCAACCAGTTTTAGATAATCCTAGGCTCTCAGGCCCAGGACCAAGCCTGGTCTGGATTCATGAACATTTTTCCCATATTATTTTGTCAATAAAACTTGCGTAAACTCGAATAGGAAGGGAAATTGCACAATGACAACCATAACTAGAGAAAATACAGAATAAGGTTGACGAAACAAGTTAATCGTGGCACTGAATGGTGTGTGTATAATAGAGAAGAAGAAAAAATATTCGTAACCTAAGAATATGGGATGCATTTGGACAAGTTGACCTTCTTTTAATTAATCCCATGACGACTCTTAAGAAATTTCTAAGAAACTAACAACATTAAAATATACAACTCAAACTAAAACTGCTTCATTTAAATGGGTGTTGCCTCTGGTTATTTAACTCATTTTTACATCATACTATAAAATATTAAACGTAAATGATTTAGCATCAGCTGTTCTTGAAGACAGTATTAATTTTAATATGATGGGTTAATGTACATTTCATATTCATTTACTTAACTCTGTGGAATTTAATAGTTATGAAGGGCCGTGGAAGGTGGAATTGTTTACGAAAAAGTCCCACCCACGTGAGATGAGGTTCAAGGTCCGTGTCAAGCCTATCAATAGGACGTTTCAACTGTAACGTTTATAGATTATTAAAAGAGTAAACGACTTTTTCCCACGCAATTGTTTTGCCTCAATACACTATCCCACAAAAAATTTCAAAATACCCATTTTTTTACCCAAAATTTATATTTTTTTAATATCCAAAATAAACTTAATTTTCTCAGCTGACCAAGAGTCAGGGTAATAGAGATTTTTATAAAGTAACGGTTAGTAGATCTAATGATAGTGACTGATTGAATATTCGTTGTTGAAATTAGTAAAAAGTTAGTTAAAAATAAAAAATTTTAGTCTTAAAATGATCGATAATCGATAAGAAATTATGTATTAAAGTGAGAAGAATTTTGTAGAAAGAAGATCGGAGGTTTAAATGTTGGTAACAGAAAAAGTTGTCGGTTTTGAGTAATAACAAAATATAAATTTTGGATAATAGAATTGTATTTTCAAACTTTTTAGGTGGAAAAACGTTATTAAGGCAAAACTTAGACGGGAAAAAGTCGCTTACTCATTATTAATTATTAAACAAATTGATAATAATAAATTAATTAAAGTTCGGTTGATCAAATTGGTCTCAATTCATGGCATGGTGTAATGAACCCCCACGTGCTCTCTTCTACCAATGAGAGTAGTCCTGGCCCTTCTTGGGACAAGAAGACATGGCCATGCACGCCTCTCTCTTTTTTATTTATTTTTTCCCCCACACGTGTGGCAACTCTTGTCTCCTTCATTACCTTACTAGCTTAGCTGTCCCGTCCCCTTCAACATTAGCTGGATCCGCACGTGCACATTGCACAGCCATTGAATCGAGACTTATCGTCTTCTTTATTACACAACTAACTACACGAGTAACACAACCCCCCATTTACATGTCTTTTCTCGTTTATTAATTAAGTTTTAAATTATATGATTGTATTTTTCTGTAACTTAGTTAATTAAATGTTACAGTATAAAAATATACGATATAATTATAATTATGTAGACATCATTGAATATTGTTATGCCTACAAAATTAAGGCTATTGTAAGTTTATATCAGCAAACACTAATCAAAGTTCATGAATATTTTACGTTATCCAGGAGTTGTCACGTTACCTCAAGACAAAAGGGATACGTTTGTTATCAACTCAACAAATTCAGATTTTATCTATGAGTTAATGAAGACCACACACCTGTTCAAGTCCTAAATAATTTGAAGATGTTTCCTAAGTTATCATTATCTTTAATTTAGCTACAATAAATAGATGACTCCTCCTTTTATTTTGGGATTTCTCTAATCTTTATTTTCATAAATAATCAACAGCAAAGAGAACTGATAAGAAAGAAACTGATTTAATATTTTATTTAAAACTCAGTTATTATACCTCTATTTATTGTTCGTTATATACAACCTTTTATAAACTCTCATATATAAAAGAAACAATAAACGTAGGAATGTTTTAGGTATCCAAACTATTTTAAAAATTATCTCTTCTATTTATTATTTAGACTTTATATTTGATAATATTATTCAATCTTGTTCCAACTCTTGGATAAGTTAATTACACGTTATTTTCAAGAATAATTTAACATTTTATATATATGAGCTGTTGATATCAAAATTAAGCATGGAACAAAAATCTATATTCAGATTTTATAATTAAGAAACTTCGTGGGATATCATTACCATCCTTTTTTATTGTTTGTATTAAAATATCATCAATTAAATCGCGAGGTGAACTCAGCAGTGTTCAGTGGTGACTAGTGAGTAGACCCGTTCTTTACCGTAAGAAAGAAAAAGAAAAAGAAAGAAAAGAAAATGGGCGAGTCTCGGTCGCCTCTGCATAAAATTATGGGACCAGGTTCACGTGTTGGTTGGTTTGATTGACACGTCAAAGCACTGTGGTCCCCACTAGCCGGTGGCGTTACGTTACTTTATTAGTATAAGATTCAATGTCGCACGTGTGAAGTCGACTAGCGTTGGCAAAAGCACCGCGGAGAGTTACATGAATTGAGTGGTGAAGGTGGGGTCAGTGCAGTAGGCCCCTCTAACTTAGAGCCTTATTATTTGTCCGCTTATGTACCGTTCAAACTGAACATCACGTCAGAGATTACCCAAATACCGGAGAGAAGGCATCTCCTTGAAATCATCGACGTCACGATTGCTCTTTGTGAGTGGGCTACATTTTAAGAAACGTGTGTCCCAACCTTTGTACCGTTCCATAATATGGCAGTGTTTGATCTAACGGTTGGGGTATGTCGATCTCATGATCCTTCAGGGTCGTCTCAAGAACATTTGTGATTCTAAGCAAAAATTACTTTGGGGGCCTTCTAATATATAAACATATTAAAATAATTTGATAAAATTTTCTTGTTTTTTGAGATGCAAAATCACTAGGAAAGGTAGACAACGATCGACAGGCTAACTGGGTCAGGTTGGTGGGGGTTGTGGAGAGCAGATATTGGAAAAGTGATGTGGATGAAATAGGTAATTTCCAATGCTTGATTGGCCAGAAAGGCTTGAGAAGTCGCAAGCCAAAAGGAATTGGTGGCCGCTGATTTGACGGAGTAAACGAATGAGTTATGATAGGGATTTTGTGAGAGGGTTGAGAGGAGGAAGATGGTGGTATCAGGGAAGGCCAACAACGCCAGGTACATGCTGAAAGGTCAAAAAATGGCTGTCGTGCACGGTGGAGTTGGGTTATGAGATTCGTAAAAAATCGATCAAATCGAGGGCTATCAAGGTTGGAAAAACACTTGGGAAAATGATAAAGTGATGATTCCAGTCAATTTGGTGAGAAAATTGATGAATCGCTCCAAACGGCTGGCAGTGAAAGAGGGATGAAGATATTTTATGTGAATGTCCCGAATTTGTGATGGAATTGGGGTTGAGTAATTTGAGACATGTAAATGACTATTTAACCTTTTATTGTTAAAAGAAATTTAATGTGTTAATTTAGGGGTGTAAATTGGAATATATGAAACTAGATGTACAAACTACTATTTTATCAAACTTTGGGTGGGAATATATGTAAAAAATTTATAATAAATTCGGGTCTTTTTGGCTTTTTTTTTTTTTTCCCTCCTGGCCTGGATAAAAAATCATACACCATTTTTTTTTAATATATTAAAAAAATTATAAAAAATTTGAGCCTCTATTTTTGGGGGCCCTAGGCAGGTGCCTTACCTGCCTACCTCTTGAGCCGGGCCTGCGACCCTTACCCTCGGAGTAAGATGACCTCGGAATGGATATGAATTTAACAAAATACATATTGAAAAATCCTAAGGGATTAACTCGATGATCAACGAGGATTACTCGACGATCAAAGAGGTTTATTTTATTTTTTGAGTTTTTAAGTTTAAACTTTGGAACCATTTATCATAATAACATTATGATTTAGTTGATTTTTTGAGTTTAATAGAATTCAATAAACCCTGAAAATTAGTTGAGATACACGCAAACTGATTACTGCGATTACTTTGATATAATTGTGGAATTTTAACAAAATATGCAATGTGATCATACTGTTGGTGCCATATATTTAATTAGGTGTGTCATACTTTTCTTTGTTTTTAAACTGAAAAAGATTAAAATAAAAAAAGAGGAAGATGACCATATTACTATATAGTACTCTGTTTAATGCATTGTTGATGCTTAGGGAAATCTAGATCGGGACTCAAACAACTTGTCAATAATGGAGGCACCCATAACACTGACTCCCCATGTTACTATAATTGTGTTCTCTACTTTTTCCTCCATTCCTTTACATGTTTTTATTATATTTTCATACGGCTTAAGTAATTATATAAATGATCTATAATATATGATTTACATGAAGCAAAAAATGAAAATGTGATGAATGTCTGAAATTCAATACAGAAAGGGGTAGTGATGTCATGTGTTGTATCGTCTATCAAGTAATGTCAGAGAAGCTTTTCTCATTTTTCACTCTTCACTCACATCCTAACATGTTTAAGTGTAAGTGAGGTCATAGATTCTGTATCCCAGTGCCCAATAACATAAATCCCTGTCTAAATATTACCTCTAGCTCATTCAATTTTTTTTTTTTTTTAGAAATTTTAATATTACCTTTTGACATTTATTTATTTTCACGATGAATATTCTTTTAATTTAATTTGATCAAACCAAAACAAAAATCAGGGTGCAAAAATTTTGTAAACTTTCTAGTGGAAATGATAGGAGTTATGATTACGGGATTGGATAAGCTCAAAAATGGTAAGCCCTGAAATACTTGATTATTCTAAATTACACTTGTTTTTAACTCATCTACGTGTGAAAAGAAAAAAGAGGGAAATAGAGTAAAAGGAAAAGAAGAATCAAAGGAAGCAACATCCCAGCACTTGCATTCTCTTGTAAAACTTAATAAACAAAGCTTGGCCCTCGTGGGAGAGATCCAGTCTTCCCAATTTACAATACTCTCTCCTCTTACAAAACACACTCTAAACGGAGAGAGAGAGAGAGAGAGAGAGAGAGGTAGAGAGGTGTCTTGTGTTGGTAGAAAATATGACAGCCGGAGGATCATCAGGAAGGCTACCAACGATCAAGGAAAGAGAGAACAATAAGAGAAGGGAGAGAAGGAGAAGAGCCATAGCTGCAAAGATATTTACAGGGCTAAGAGCTCAGGGCAACTATAAGCTACCAAAACATTGCGACAACAATGAGGTCTTGAAAGCTCTTTGTTCTGAGGCTGGCTGGGTCGTTGAAGAAGATGGAACTACTTATCGCAAGGTTTGTCTTTTCATTTATCATTGTTAATTTGTTGATCTAAAGTTTCATAACGTTTCAAGATTGTTGTTCTCTGTTTATCATTGTTTGTTCATATTTTTTTGACTTTCAAGGTTCTGGAAACAAGGTTCTTTATCTGGGTAATCCATTTGGTTTGACAGATCTACTTATCTACGTGCATGCATTCCTTTATTTTAGATTTAGATTATATTTCATGGCGCTAGATGAAACGGGTCTTCATTAATTTTGGTCTTTTGTGTTTTCTTTTCTGAACCTTTGTTTTCGTATGGAAATGATTTTTTTTTTTCTTGTAATTTCGTAATTATGTTGATTAAAAATATCTGTGGGTCTTTTCTATCTGAGAAATCACTAGAGAGGAAAAGGTACCTTGGGAGCTCTGAGTTTCTGGAGGTTAAATGTTTCCCGTTTGAATTACTCTTATTTGTATGGGATACTTGCTTCCAAATTTGTGTCTTTGCGTATGATTCTTGTGGTCCTTTTTACATATTTCTTCTTCTTTAGCTTCTGAGTTTGTTTCCTTTGCCTGGTTCATGATTAAATTTATCCTTGAACTAATAACAATGAAGAAGTTGTTCTCTCCAAGCTATTCTCTTTCGGTGCGTCTAATTCATGTGGTTTAGTCAAATCCTTTGTTTCCTCAGTTCTCCCCGAATATTACGCTACTATCTATTTTCCTCACATTCGTATACATTGCAGGGCCTAATTAATCGAGTGTGTTCTTAGTCTAAGTAAATTAAGAAGGGAAAAATGATAGAAATTGATTTATAAGCTATATAACATAGGCTGTTCTATGAATTTGAGGAATGACATTGTAATGTACTGTTTAACATCCCAACTAATTTTCTGCTTCTACCTCTGCAGGGATACAAGCCCCCAACACCAATTGAAATAGCAGGAGCTTGTAATAACATCAGTGCATGTTCCTCCATTCAGCCAAGCCCTCAATCTTCATCTTTCCCTAGTCCTGTGGCCTCCTACCATGCCAGTCCAACATCATCCTCATTTCCCAGCCCAACTCGCTTTGATGCAAACCCCTCAACATACCTTCTTCCATTCCTTCACAACATTGCTTCCATCCCCTCTAATTTACCTCCTCTTAGAATATCAAATAGTGCTCCTGTAACCCCACCTCTATCATCTCCAACTTCTAGAGGTTCAAAACGAAAACCTGATTGGGAATCCTTTTCAAATGGCTCATTAAACTCCTTCCGCCATCCCCTGTTTGCGGCATCTGCCCCTTCAAGCCCCACCCGCCGCCAGCATCTTGCACCTGCCACAATACCAGAATGTGATGAGTCTGATGCATCCACTGTGGACTCTGGTCGTTGGGTCAGTTTCCAGACAGTAGCACCCTCAGCAACAGCAGCAGCAGCCCCTCCTTCACCTACATTTAATCTTGTTAAACCGGTGCTAAAACAAAATTCTGTTCAGGATGCAGTTAATGGGCATGGAGGGGTAAGCTGGGGGGTGACAACAGAGAGGGAGCGAGTTTCAGAGTTTGAATTTGGTAGTCATACGGTTAAGCCATGGGAGGGTGAGAGAATTCATGACATAGCTGTGGATGATCTGGAGCTTACACTAGGAAGTGGCAAGACGCGTTGATAAAGCATCTTACCAAAACCTGGATTGACTTGAGAATGTGTGAATGGAGGAAAAAGTTTATGTAGGTTTTCATTGTGCATTCTAAATGGTGCTTGGTTTCTTTAGCTAGTCTAGTATGTATGGCATCACTTGGGGGTCTCCTCTGGTTTCTGCAATCTCTGGAAACCTTGATTTCACATTTGGTGATGCCCGGAATTTTCTTTAATGTGTATAGTTAGTAGTCTAAATTAAATGAGCCATTACAGCTCTGAAGGAATCTTACCTATCAGATTCCATAGTGCAAACATGCTGTGGGAAAGACTAAAGCAAGTGATTGGGGAGGTTATTGTTCACTTGTTTATGTTTAGTGTCCTCTTAACTATTCATTATCATAGGATTTAATCCAATTATTAATGTCATAGTCTCCCATGCTTTAAACAGGGTGATTGTATTCAATTTCTGGTTGGGGATCAGGGAATTTTGTATCCTTTAAAGAAAGAGATGCTCGTAACATTTGATGGCAGTGATTTATTAGACCTATTTTGTTGGCAAGCAAACCCCAAATTATTTGGTCTCTAATTGATAAGCTTATACTTTTGTTCAGATCAGTTTGTACACACCTCAACTAACTTTCAGTCATGAAGTTGATGATTAGGTAAGCCTTTTAATGGTCACCCCTATTAGGGTCCGTGGGGGAACTTGAACTTGGCAGCTTATGTAACATTTTTTTGTTATTTTACCATTAGACCACCTAGGATAAGCTTATACTTGCCATTCACTAGAAGCATCGAGGTTCATGTCATCTATTTTCCATTGGATTATTATCATTGGTACAGTTAAATAAAATATTTAGCAGGTTCTCGGAATGTTATCGTTGGATTTGATTATTTGGTGACATCTGAGGGTGGTGTGTTTGGGAGGCTTTTGGCAAGAAAGTGTTTAAGAACAAATATTTTTATGTAAACAACACTTTTTTAAGAAAGGTATATTCCATGTTAGTCCAATGTTTACTATAACATTTGAGAAAACATTTACCTATTTCAGCAACACAAAAGTTCTTGCATAAACAATCTCAAAAGGTTCAACTTTTATATTTTCCAAATCTCCAAACACAATCAAAACGGAAGAGTGTGGGCAGAAGTGAATTAAAATAGGAATATCCTTTTTAGGTAATTTTCAGTATTACACAATAGATAGCGGAGTTTATGTTTTGTTTCTTATCCATTTATGTCATGCTCAATTTTCTTCTGCAATTTGTTGGATTCTGTGAGTCAAAAAGGCATCCAAACCCATTAATAGGGCCCTCTTCACATGTGATCTGTCGTTAATGGTTGCATGTGAGCTACGCCATACTTGATGTTCTAATTCACCAAACTAGTCAATAACCTCCTTTCCTAATAATTAGTGATCAGTTTTGACCAAACGGCCCCAATCACTCCTGCTACATTAATACTTATTCTGATGTATGTTTAATTTGAATTAAATCTTAAGCAAAGAAAGTCTTTGGAGTGGTTGCTTTGCTGAAAATGCCCTCACTAATGAACAGATGATTCAAACACCAAGGGACAGAAAGTTTCTGTTTGCTATTGGGCAGCCAGGTAGAGATGGATAATCAGAGAACAGTGGATTTGCTAATAATAACATACCAGTAAATTTCATAAATATAGCTCCCCAACTCAACAGTGTTAGAATTGTCAACCACTTTAACATCGATAATATTGAAATAATATTAACTAGGTTGAATATAATCTGTTAATTTAGTGAATCAAAGTAAATCGCGTGTATCCCTTCTTTTGTTTTATTGTTTTAATTTGTGTGTTTGTATGTTACTTCATTTTCATATTACTCTCTATTTGGTTCAAATAATTTCCATAAACATCATAATAATGAAAGCAGCGCATTAGTAAAACCCTTTTGTTGTGCAGTGGATGGATGTTTATGCGTGGATAAGTAGGTTTTGATGTGTGATGCTTACCTAGCTTTCACGCGTGTTTTAAGCATTAAGTTGTCTGTTGTCGTTTAATAAGCTTCACAACATCCAATGAGTTATAAGTCTTAATCTTGAGTCTTGACTTTGGAAGTGCTTTTGTGTTATATATGGTTTTGTGGTATGTATTTGAAGTAGGTTAACGAACAATTGGGTTTGTAGTAATTGTCGTTTGCTTCAAGCAGCAGAAGCCTATCACCTTCAACCTCTCGACTCCTGCTATATTACCCTCTTGGTATTTATCAACTGAAACTCATCAAATCATACAACTTTTCGCTATTCATTGAATGTTCATCGATCTCTGTGGGACCCTAATTTACGCTAGCCAGAATTAGTTGTTTGCAGGCCCTCAATATATATAATCAACCAATTATATGCTAATTAGCTCTCCAATCTCAGCTTCAAATATGATTTGGGCTGTTAAGATTTATATAATCAGTATTCCATTTTCATACAATTCCTAGCTATATTTTCAATGTATGACTACTTCTTTTATCAATATGAATTTCACTTAATTAGATCGTTTCAGGGTTGTCCAGCCCTATTATATCTAGATATAAATGAATTACTAATTTGAAGTTCAAATCATTTGCTAGAAGTTAAAAAAGCAACAATTGAGTCAAGTTAGATAAAGTTTTTTTTTTTTTTTTTAATTACAAGGGGTGTTTGGATCAGCTTATGTGCACTTACTTCAACTAATCCTCCAAATCCTCTAAAGTCTTGAAATTGTCGATAAAGTAAGAGCCTTAATGATTACCCTTATTATCATTATTTTTAAAGAGTTGCTAATCAATGACATCCATATTGATTCCATTAATATTATTAGTTAATTCTTATCCTTATTTCTTCTAACAATTTTAATACACCCCCCGCCCAAACTAGAATTTGCAAATGTTTATTGCTTTGATTCTTTCAGGAATGAAACTAATTTTCTTGTGCATGGATACCAGCAATCAACCAACTACAATGTGAAACATAATTACTGGTGGGTGGGAACCAGCTCAAGCGGGAGCCATTTAGCAATGTGGTGTCAAGAGTTTTGAAGTTGTCGACGAGATAGCAAAAACATTGGCCCATCCGACTCAACATTTCATTGAATTGAGACTCACTCTGCCTTGTTTGTTGCCTTGACCTCGTTGGCTTTTGCGGCTCTTATATCATTAGGTTTTCAACTGTAATAACGATACAACTAATTATAAATTATTCTTTAACAAATTGTTTATTAGAATTATTGTGCCAAATGTAAACAAATTAACTAATTGGGTATGTATACTATTATATTTGCCTCTTTTACTAATTTAATAATAGATAAAATTATAATTTAACCAAAAATAAAAAAGGAAAGAAAACAATAATGGTGAGCAGATTTAGAAAGTCTGGTGTGTAGTGTGTATAGCTCCTCCTCCATTTCTTCCCTTCGGGTTGGGTTGGTTTCGTGGTTTTCAGGCCCAAATATTATAATAATACGGAATCATCAATAACTATGACTCTTACTATGGCCCAGATTTAGAAGATGTGACTTCTGCGAAAAAACCTTTGCATTAACCTTTATGTTCAGGTCTGCCAGTGTCACGGGCTCATCAGCTAGAATAAGCAGAACTCATGTATAACAACAAACACAAATACAGTAAAATATCACAATTCATGTAATTCAGTAACAAATAAAGAAACAAGTTTTCAATAAGACTATTTAAGTCTAGTTCTTTCTTTTCATTATTCTTATCAAACAAATGAGTTTACAGTGTGTAGACGTAAAAATCTACCTGTACGAAAGGGGGGTCTGATCCCGTGAGGTTAAGGCCACTAGCGATCCGCTGCACCTGCACACGTAGAGAAACACACGCGTGAAGCGAACGGGAAACACCGGGGTGGTGTTTGCCGTAGGCACTCCGACGTTCAAGTCAGCAAGGCTGAGAGAGGCTAATATAGTGAGGGCTAGGGAGTAGAAGTTACCGGAAGTCTAGTCGGGGACTGTGACTACGGCGGTGATGGGGAGCTCTCAAGTCAGAGCTTTCAGTGTGAAGGTGTAATGTCATCTGTCCCTTGTGAGAGGGTTGGCCTCTGTTTATATAGTGGTCGTCTGGTCTCCCAATCCTGGTAGAAGTAGGAGTCCTAGTATGACTCTGATGCAAACCCTAGAAGAATTAGGGCTGTGGTAAGCTGTCTTACCAGTGTCCGGATAGGAAGGTGATTCTGATTAGGAGAGTAACTCCGAGTAGGAAAGTGATCAGGAATAGGAAGGTGACCTTGAATGGGAGATTGATCAGGAGTAGGAAAGTACTCTGAGGGGGTTGTGGGCTCTGGATTCGCCCATGGACCTAGGAAATAGACTGGGATTAGGAGGCTCGTGCCCACGTGGTTTGGACTGGCTATATCTTGTACCGAATGGGCCTAATCTGGTTGGGTCATATCAGGATTGGGCCTGGCTTCTTCTTCAGTGTCAAGCCCGTTTTCCTATTCGGGCCAAGGACAATTTTTGGCCCTAACACAGTGTTGTTTTGATGATGTTATTAGTGTCAATTATTAAAATTAACATAAAAACTACTAGGAAAAACAAAATTGTTTTATGTTCTTAAATCTCAATAATGGTATCAAAATTTCGCTCTGGTTGTTAAAGTTATGATATACAGTATCGTTGCAAGGGCAGGTCCGAAGTCTGCAATTTGGGGCAGAATGTGTGTACCCCGGCCAACCATAAGGAAGATCCGCCCCCACAACCATATCAATTTTATTGTTTGTGCTGTGCCTAATTTCTTGGCAGTCAGCTTTCTGCAAAAACATGGTGTGTTGAAGGCTGGCAGCTTGGATCCTCCCATTTGTCACTTGTCGTCTTGCCTGTTCTTAAAGGCGATTATTATCAAAAACATGCGTTAAACTATCATGAGTATGGCCTGGCTTATTATAAGTATGAAGATTACTGACTCAGATCCTAATTAAGGAGATTATACATGCACGCAGCCCGTAACACCCACTCTCAACCATTGTCGACGAGCCAAGTATAAAAGGAATCGACGACCTCCGCTTCAAGGGATTCCAGTGTTAATAAAGTACAAGAGAAAAATAAGTTGACTTGTTTTAGGGAGTGTTTAGAGAGAATAGGTTGTGAGAGCCGAATGTCCTTCATTCATCTCGCAAACTTCTTTTTGTAACCTTATTCAACTCTATAACATCTCTCAATAATAATATAACAGTGGATGTAGATTTGATTTTTATATAGCCGAACCACTATAAAATCTTTTTGGTTGTTTATTTTATCACGACGTTTTATACAGCCCATAAACTGTAGTATCAAAGACTACAGCTGAATGGCAGTTGAAACTACTGATTAATAGATAATATTTTCTTTAACTTTTTTTCATGTTTAGCTCTGAATAGTACAAAAACTTGACTCTTTTCGTTTAATATTTTCTTACATATGTACCACAAATATTTAGCTGAAGGTCCATAATAATTGTATCCTTCACTTGGTGAAAGAATTTAGCTCCAGCTCCAGTGAATCCTTAAACTTTGAGCCATGGCGACCTCCATCTCAATGCCACATGCAGTTCTAATATCAAATCCCGGTTTGGG